TTTTTTTTTTGTCATGAACCTTTTTCGGACCACTTATTTTTTTATTTTGGTGACGATCCGACCTGCATGCTGCTACTCTGGTTCAAACTGCATCCACCAAAAAATGCGATTAGTCTCCACCTTCCCAAAAGAACCAAAATCTGACACAGTGTGAGATGTCTTTTTTAGCTGTTCTGTCATCATTTCCTGCGATCTTCTTCATGCAGTCAGTCAAAAATGAATATTAATACGGGGCGTTTCTTTGACTATTTATAGGCAAATATGGGCGTTACGTGAAGTCCGCAAAAGCTAAGCCGCATTTCGAGTTGATTGTGCGTCCTACGCCGTTATGCAGTGTTTTATCAATCGTAAAATATCTGTCCTATTTATTTGCTTTGTCCTACCTAAGCAACCTTCCCACGTGAATCCTACGCAAGGCTTTGTAAATGAGGCCCCTGGTCTTTTTTTAAATGGAAAGGCAGCAGATCAGTTGACGAGTGATGATTTTTTTTGTTTACATGCATTGTCTTGTTCAGCATGAAAAATATCAGATTTTGAGATTTAAAAAAAATCATTCATTCAAATAAACATTTTATAATTTATTTTTAATATTATCATTATTTTATTCTCTTTACATTTTTCATAATTTATTAATTTCCAAAATTCAAGGATTAAAAAAAAGATAATTAAAGATACATTTATTTTACCGCTTATTCTATATGTTATGTCCGTTCATCCGTTGCACTCTGAGGTTTCCCCATTTTTTAATTCTGGGGTTTATGGGAATCTTTCCTTGATAGAATTGCTCTACTTTTATTAAAAGATCATGCTAGTGTTTGCACATGTTTTAACACATGTTCATATTATTCTAACTTGTTTTTTCTTCAGGTATCTCAGGCTCTCAGACTGCTGCAGCTCCAGTGATGCGATCTCAAAAGAAGACCTCCAAAGTAAGACTTCTTATCTGGCTTGTGTTTCCTGATCTCTTGTTGTCCGTTTTGTCGGTATTAACTTAAATCTTATTCTTACCAAGGCAACCAAGGAGAAGAAAACCCCCCCGCAGCTTGCAGTCACTCACCCGTTATCCTCCACCCACGAGTTCCTGCAGGCCTGCACCGCCTGTTTCCCTCAGAGAGGTACGTCCATGTTCTTCTCTTAAACTACAATACATTCAATGTTATTTAGCTGATGCTTTTATCCGAATCAGAAACACAATTCCTTTATTAGTCCAGCTGCGGGGACATTTACAACGTCACAGAAAAAGAGACATAACAGATTAAAAGACAAGCAATAAGAGAGTAGCTAGCATGTTACGAGAAAAAAAACACTTTAGAAATACAGATAAAGACAAATAAGTACTCATCAATTGCTAAAATAAATTACGTGTACATATTAGGGTTTGAGATACTTAAAAAAAAAAAAGTGTATATAAAAATGATCATGGTTATTGCACCGTAAAATTGCCCAAAAAGTGTATATATTGCACCGTACATAGGGTTCTTACGGTCATTAAAAACCTGGAAGAGTCATGGAAATTCAAAATGCTAATTCCAGGCCCTGGAAAAGTCATGGAAATGTAACTAAAGTTGCATCAAATATAATTTATATTTGATCTAATCGCCCAAATAGTAATACTATAATGATAATAAATACTGTATCGTAATGAAATGTAAAATGGCATTTAACTAACGAGGTGTTTTGCTGGTGAGAGATTTGAGTTGCTTTAGCCTGTAGAAGCTAGTAAGCCTACTATTTGATTTGTTTTAGATAACACAACATGTTTCAGAACTTATTTTCCTGTTCCATGTTCAAATAAAAAATGTTCAGTGGTACGCTGAGAAAGAGTAATGTTTTTGGTCAATGGAGAAGTCATGGAAAAGTCATTGGTGAAAAAGTGTATGAACCCTGACTATGTGAAAGCCTTTTTATAGTGTTCTTCGTCACTATCTATGC